ATTTTTACACTTTGGTGAGTGTGCTGTGCTTGGGTGTGTTGGGTGCATGATAGTAGAGGAAACCAAAGACCAAAAGCAGGCGCTGGAGAACGGCAATGAGGCGGCATGTGCCAGCCAGCAGAGCCACGGCGGCAACGTTGTCTTGAGGCCTTCGTCGAGCCACGACGACGCTGTGACGGAGATGGAGGCGATGACAGTAGAGGACCCGCAAGGTGCGCCCCCGGCAACTGGGGGTCATGTGTCGGGGCCCAGAGAGGTGGCGGCTTCGAGGTGCTTCTTGGCGGTGTACTTGGGGCGACTGCGTGGGGCGGGCGAAACAGGGCCCCCGGCCCTTGCCCTGTCGCTCGACCTCCTCCCCACCTTCGTTTTCTCCACCGGCATCATGCTCCTGTTGGCGGTTGTCGATGAGTACGGTCTGGGGCAGTACGGCCTGCAGCTGTACTTGCCGTCGTTCTGGGCGTCGTGCGCGTTGACGGTTTGTCTCATAACTGCACCCGGGGCGCAGCCGCAGGCACTGTTGGGCTCGCACCTGCTTGCTGCCCTCTTTGGTGTTTCCTTTGGCCACGCAACGGGGTCTCTTGCGCAGCCCCTTGGGCAGTTGCTGGCCAGCGCCTTCGCTGTAGCTCTCCTTACCCCTGCTTGCCTCTTGTTTGGTTGGTTTCAGCCCTCGAGTTCGGCCACAGCTGTGCTTGCCGTCTTTCACAAACAGGGGCGATTGCACGATGCGGGTTACGTCTTCCTTCTGACGCCTGTGCTGCTTGGCGGGCTCATTGTATTTGTTTGCTCGTGGCTGATGAACAATCTTATACCGTGGCGACCAGCCTATCCCCTTTGTTGGTGAATTCATTGATGGACTGTGTTCCTTTCCTTTTCTTTTTTGGTACTTACTTCCGATGTAACGTCTCATCTTTGGCGAATGATTTCACGTGTTTTTCCCTTTCCCGTGTGTTGGGGTTGGGCGTGTTCGCCACTCTGCTGGGAAACGCGACGCCGCGGCGGCCGATCAAAACATCAGAACCGCGTGGGTGCGCCTGGGGGAGGCGGTGGGATATTCGTGCGGCGGCGCTGGGGGGCGTGCGTGCATGCGCCGGAGGCCCGAAACTTTGAATGAACCGGAGGGCCCCTTCCCGTAATGCCGCCCGCAGCCTCATCGCCGCGGTTCCGCTCAATCGCCGGAACAGGGAGCTTTTTGTTTTGTTTTGTTTCCTTCACTGGCCATTTTCTTTTTTCTAAAAAGTTGTAAAAAAAAAAAAAACGAAGTTATTTTCTCCTTGGCGCGGTGACTGTGCCGTGTGGCTCGCGGAAGCATCTTTTGGCCGGACGAGGCCCGGTGGGGGCGCGGGGTGCGGCGTCTCGCTGCTCCCGACCCAAGCAGGGTGCTCTTGGCGACGCGCGTTTGTTCCCCTCCGGCGTTTGCTGCACAGGCGCGCAGAAGGAAGCGAATTAAAAGGCAACAAAATTTTTTTTTCGTCTTCCACGTGCCGTGTTGTGTTTGGAGGCCATTGGCGGAATTCACGATGCTCCCACTCTGCCCCTCAGTGTTTGTTGCCCTCGTTTTTTTTATTTCGTTTTGTTTCTGATGCATTGCCGGGCGTGCGTCCGCTTTAGAAGCTCCGTTACAATAGGGAAAAGTGACTGGCCACCGGTGGCGCAAAACCTCCCGTTTTTTTTCTTCCTTCGAGCCTTTTCCCGGCAAAACTTTCGCGGTAGCTGCGACCACCGGCGTTTGTGGTGTGTTAAGTTGTGATTTTAACTCTCGTGTGCGTGGGTGCCTTTGCCCCTCCGTGCGGCCGCCCTCGCCGTGGCGGCCGCCAGTTCTTTGGCGACCTGCAGCGTTTGTGTTGGTCATTGTTTCTTCCCTTCTTTTTTTTGTTTGCCGAACTGCTGTCGCCGAGGCCGGAGCGTAGCGTGTTGCGGTTCTGTCACTGAGGGAAGCGGAATGGGAAAAAACATACAAACACACACACACAAGAATGCCTGACATCTTTTTTACCGCGTTCCTTCTTCCGCTTTCGGTACCCTCTGCTTCGGGGGCCGGCCCAGGCAGGCCCAACGGGGTCCGGGCGGCTGGAGGAACTGCCCTCTCGCCCTTGCGCGGACGCGAGCAACTCCGAATAGTGCCGTTAACGCAGATCGGTGCGAGCGCCCCTGCGGTCGCTTCACGTGATGCTGTCCACGTTGCGACCAGAAGGGGCGCCGGCCATGCCCTTGGCCGCCGCTGGCTTGCGCGGGACGCCAGTTCGTTGCGGTGGCGTTGATTTACGTGCGTGGGCTGTGGGCCATGTGGGTGGCCCAACTTCTTCCTTTGCGGCCGCGGACGCGAGTGCGGTGCCCCCCTCTCACGAGGCAACGCGCGGCCAAAGCAGAGGCCAACCAATTCCTGTGTGGGCCGTTGTCTCCTTAGTTTTGCTGGGCACCCTGGGCGCTGCCTGTGTGGCCGGAATTGCCTTCCTCGCACGTGGGCTTCGCCTTCAGCGCGCACCACGCCTCTCACGGAGGGCCGCCTCCCAAGTCCCGACGGCGGCCCGCGAGCAACGGGCCCATTCCTCTGCGGGGGACCTCCAACGCGTAGTCTGTGCGACCGCAAACGCCTGACACGTCACCCGGCGCGTTGTCACGGCAGCTTTCGCTCTCGTCGGGCCGTGAGGGCTGGCGGCGGCAGCAGCGTCGCTCGGGCGCCTCGGTGAGGCCAACGGCTCCATTGACGGGCGCCGCCTCCGTGCGCCGTCGCCCGGCCGCCCCCTCCGCCTCGGCGAGTGGGGCGAGGTCACTAGCACGCCCGGATGCACTCCCTCTTCTGCTGACCGGAACGATGGAGGTACGCCTGCAACTCTGGGGATACGTCTTTGCTTTTTTTTATTGATTCGGTTTCTCGTTGGGGTTTCTGTCAAACAACAAGAAGCGAAAATAACAACAGCCAAGGACATTCTTCTTACAATAATCGACACCCGCTAAATGCCTTCAGCTTGGGCTCTTGCCATTTTTTTGTCTTTTATTCCCTCCACGTAGATGCTGTTGCAAATACAATTCACCGATCGGCGCGGCGGAGAGACGCAGGAGGAGCAGCGCCTGCGTTCCCCATCGCGGGAAAAGGCGCGGCCGCAGCGGCAGCGTCAGTGGTGCGTGCGGGAGTAGAACCCGCGGTGGAGGGTGTGTGTGTGGCGAGCTGCGGGAGAAGGCGCCGCGGCCGCAGCTGCCTGCACCCGCGGGAGAAACCCGTCCCCCCCCACCGCCGTAACACCTCTGAGCCGCCACGGCCGCGATGACGCAGCGGATGGCCCAGCTAGGCATCTGCATAAACACTGAGAAGACGGCGGTGCTGGACGCCTCGGGCACTGCGGCACGACGTGGCGAGTGAATCCGCAAACGGAGAGGGGTGCGCACGCGACAGCAAAAAAAGAAAAAACACACACACCATGAGGCCCCGGAAGAAGCCGAGGAGCCCACCCCAAGACGAACCAGAGAGAGAGCGACGCGCAGAGAGCGGCGAGGTGCGTCGTCATCGGCGGGGAGGGCGCACAGTGAATGCACACACAATCACCCAAGAGATGAAGGGAAAAACGACAAGGTTAAACCCCCCCACAAAAAGAGAGAAGGCAAACACTCTCCAGCCGTGCGGAACGACGGCGCACACGATGACACGAGGTGCCGCGGCATACGCAGCAGCAGCGGTGATGGCGATGATGATGGCGCGCGATCCCGGCCCTCGATGGTGGCCGCGACGGCGGGTTAGGGTTGGTGTGGTGGTGGTGGTTGTCTCTTTTTTTTTTGCAGCATGTTAGCACGTT